CCCCCTACCCATCCGTTTTGCTTTTTTATGCGTTTTGAGCTGCGTAACAGCAACACACAATGACTTGCGATCCCGCAAATTTAATTTCAACTTTTTCCCTACGTCTGGGTACCATGTATAACCCAGCAAAGTTTTGGCAGAAAAAATATCTCGGGACCATGAAAGATAGGGAGCTGAAATTTTAGGGCAATGTCCACTGCCCACGTACGACACGCAAATTTAAATCCAACCCGCCCGCCTACCTGAATATCACTACGGCCTCGCGAAAGTTTGGAGCCGACGGAGGCGAGAGGGAGAGGGAGGGGAATTATCATTTCGGAAAATAACAAAGTTAGGAGGCTTAAATATTACGGGATGTCCCCTGCTCATGCACGACCCAGCAAATTCAAACTCAGCTTTCACGTATGTCTAGGTGTCACGTGCGGTCCGGTAAAAGTTTTGCAGGGGAAAATTATCCAGATTCCTGAGGAGCTACGAAGCTGAAAACTTCAAGAATTTTGTCTATGCAGGGCTTCACAAACTCAAATTTAGCCGCAAGTATGTGGAGGTCTCATGTGCGACTGCATGAAACATTTGGCGCGAAAGTCATTCGGAAGCCAGAAAAAAAGGGGGTTGAGGTTTTGGGAAAATGTTTTCCGTTCAAAGTTATATATTCAGCTTTCACGCGCGCTTACGTTTTACGTACCAGACAGTGAAATTTTTGATCAGAGTTCGCAGCTTAGGAACCAGACAACATATAGACCATTTTTGCACACACGCCAAAGTGCTGAACAGTGCATACACTGAGCAGGCAAACGTCCGCACCTGGAATAGCGTAAAACGCATGATAGCACCGGCTACACTGGTGCGCGCCGCTATTTATTGCCTTCGCGCACAGGTACTGATAAGCGAAATACACTGGCTGTCAGCGAATGGGAGATATGAAAGGAAAAGGCTCCTGAAAAAAAAAAAAAAAGAATTATCCCTCCTCCTTCCTGAAGTAAAAACATGAAATGGGAAATTTCCCGAAATGGAATTCGCCCGTAGAAGTAGAGCGGATATATAAGCAAAAATCAGTGCTGCAAAATATGATATGTATGATTCGACACGCTTGTATAGCATGGGTATACTAAACGTTTAGTTAAGAAAAAAACAACATAGCACAAGATTGATTAATGAAATAATTTATAATGATTCTGAAAGAAGGGCCACAGCGTATATTGGCTTTTAATTTCGGTTCATCACAAAGAAGTACTGGTGTGGTGACTCGTTAAAAGAATTGGTTTCAGGATGAAGAAATTGGAATAATAACGTTATTTGTTTCACTCCTACTACACAAGGGCATCGAGGCTTTTAGTGTTGGTCTTCAAATATCGCGCACAGTCGCGCAAAGAGTGAAACTACTCAGTGCAACAATTATTATTTATTCACTTATGACGCCAGTAGGGTCGATTGCAGGTCTCCTCTTGCATGTAAGACTTTTCGGGCGAAATTTATTTATCTGCTGTTTCTACACCACTGCTTCATGCCGTACAAGTCGATCACGTTTGAAATATTGGGATGGCAGACATAGGACTTAAAAGCCATACATTTAATGAGCATGTAATGAAGCAGTCATATTTCATCCCTTAGCCGTAACATATGCGCACTTGCTGCCCTACAAATCGCTAAACCAAGGCGAGTGTACTCGTGTCCGAAATAAAAAAGATTTTCTTTACATGTATCCAGAGCACTAAGGACGGATGGTGTAATAATTATTAGTAGCAACCGTCAAATGCACAGACCTAAGAATGTGACGATAATCCCGATTCTCCCTTATACTACGCGATTTTGCCAAGACATCTAAAAGAAATCCAGCTACTACTAAAAGCTGGGCCGGTTCGGCTCCGCCCAGTCGAGATATGAGCTCCGATTCTGATGGTATGCCGCCTCGGAATACATAGCGGAATTAACTGGAACTTCAACTTTAATTTGCATGACGGGGTAGGAATAGCAGTGGATTGAAGGAGCTAAAGGTTACAGAAGGTCGCAAAACATAAAAGGGGACTAGAATGCCTGAAAAAACACTGAAATCTTGCTTGGAAGTAGAAAACGAGAAGAATGGTAAAGTTTAAAAGTCTCATAAACAATGCTACTGAGCAAGAAATTTCATGCTGAGTAAAAGCTGGTAAACTTTTGCTTGCCAGCTTTCATTCAGCATCAAATTTCTCGCTTAGCTTCATAATTCCATAAAGGAAAGAATGGAGATTCAATCAATTTATGGAAAACATCAATGTTGCTGGCAACAGAGCCAAATAGTAACAAATGAAGCACGAATATGATCAGGCAACAGCGAAAGGGCTGTTAAATTCAAGATATGCTTCAAAATCATTATGAAACAAGAGGGAAGATGGTGCACTCGTGTTTCTCCTATTTTTGATTTCTTCAAGTACTAACGCAATGAAGGAAAGTGTTGGGATGCTTGCGGCACAACTACAAAGAGAAAGTGGTTTAGTTGGGAGAAAACGCCAGTACTTTGTCTAGGAAGTAAACATGCGCCACAGCCTTCAGCCGAACCAACTTGCAATGCGTACTGTTGAGTAAACTCGCAGAAACAAAACGACTACTTACACGACTCCGAAGAGGCTGGAGACATACAACGAATAGCCGATAGATACTAACTGAAGGTACGCAGAACAGGATCAGTGTGCCTGGTATAGTTGAAACAGATGTAAGGGAAATTTCCAGGAATAACACTAACTAACCATCAGTTAGTCTTAATATTTCTGGTAACAGAAACTAGTAATTATAAGTAAGTTGCTCCTAACTGATTAATCTATCGATTATGCGCGTAAAAAAATCATTCTGCAGAGTGCGCACATCTACGAGCCATACAAAGAAGGCATCATATTTGTCTTGGAAGCACTTGCTATTGGAACATTTTTCTACGTCACGTTCTTTGAGGTAACATATGGACAAATAAGAATCAAGAAATTCTAGGAACTCCGGATAGCCATAATCAGATTAATTCAGTTTATTTCAGAGGTTTAAGCTTAAATTGTGGCAATAATTATGTCTTCCCCAAAATTCTTCAAAACTGTGACAATGCTCCTCCAGCTCGAAAACCCACTTCTCCCAAGTACTTTCATACTTTTTGTAGCACAGATATGGAGTTAGCTTTCCGTAACAAACTGATTAGATGCACAGAAGCTGGAAGAATGCTCGCAGTATTTAAGGGGATGCGGACACGTCAGAAACTTTCTGTCAAAAAATTTAAAATCACTTTTGGATGACGTTAGCT